ATTTATAAATTTGTCAAAAATATCATGTTTGTATCGTCGAACGTTTTTTTTAAGTTTTGTAATTTTTTTTCAAATTGTTTAATAAAGTTGGAAAAAATATAACTTAAAAAAATAAAGATATATATGTTTTTTTAGGCTAGAAGATGTCTGAAGATGTTAGAAGACTCTGGTCCACATCTGCGCCAAGAAGATGACGCGCAGACATTTTTAGGTCTGCAGTCTTCAGAAAAACAAACAGTCTGCGAAGGCTAATGTCTGCGCGTGGTCTGCACGACGCAGACAGAAGAAGCTACGCATATCTGCATAAAAAAAACAAACTATTGATGATTTGAACATTTTATTCAACATTCATCAGGCCCAACTTCCCTACGATAGTTTACGTTTGTCCTCGAGATAGGTCTCTTTATAGACTATAGAGCCCATAATTCCTAATTATTTCTTTATAGACTATAGAGCCCGCATATACATTTCTACATTTCAGCTATATGATTTCTCGTTTCACTGTTCATATGAATACCTGCAATAATCGGAATATCGGATAGGAGATTAAAATCGAGGAATTATTGGTTCAAGGCTTCCACTTATATCTTCCCCAGAACGCTACTGGCGAGAGTATACAGGATTCAATAGCGAATTTTTGGGAAAAAAAAAATCAGTTTTGAACAATTGAGGTGAGAACCGGTGATTAACCAAGAGTAGACATTTCTAGCGCCTCAAGGTATGTCGTCTGATACACGAGTTTTCTTTTTTCTGGGTTCATAAATTTGTTATTTGGGGTTGATTGTGTGTTTACAAGATTACTCTTGAGGTAAGTTGAATGTAGAATTAGCTGGTTGGACTTGTAAATCAATGTGTAGCTTTATCTTCCAAAGAGCGCCAGGTGTTCGATGTAATGTCCAAAAGAGATGTTCTCTTTGTTTCTGCATTTATGACATGCATATTCATAGGTTCCTTTTTCTCTGATATAACATCTACCTTTCCATGCAGATTGACCTCAATAAAAATGGTGGTATTATCATGCTCAACAACACACTCTTCAGTACAACTCCCCTTCCATTCTTCTGTTACTATTACTCCATCTCTATGTAACTGCACCAGTATCAATTTCATTCAAATGATTACTCACCCTATCCTTATAGAAAAAACATCTAGGTTTCCTGCAATTAGGGGAAAATTTTACCCTAAATTTTGTGCAATCAATCCACACCAAACTTCTTCCACTACCCACTTAGGAAACTGGGAAGATCCTGTTAGTAGTGATAGTGAAACTGATGAAGAAGATGACATTGAAGAGAACAATCTTGACTTTGAAAGTGATTGGGAGGAAGAAAAGGATGCTTCAGAAACCCAAATTAATATGGAAAGTTTGTCCACAAGCCAGATTGAGGAAGATTTAAAAAAAGGTTTATCCTGTTATTATTATATCCCTTTGGTTTTTATGGTTTAAATCATGTTCTATAAGCTGAAAGTGGAGGATTTGTTTTTTATGATTGCAGAGGTTGAACTACTTCTGTCACCTGAAGAAAGAGCAATCTTGCTACAAAATGAATCTCCTAATTTGGACAAAATATCAACGGTGTGTTTTAAAATCTTAATATGCATTCTAATGATGATTTTTGAAAAAAAAAAAAAGTTTCTTTTTTATTGGCTTTTAAACACCAAGTTTGATTTTTTAAGATTTTGTTACTCAGGAAAAGTGGAACCCTTTGCATACATTGGCCTTAGCAGGGCAGATAAAGTTCATGGATAACCTTTTAGAAAATGGATTTGAGATTGATGCAGTTGATAAGGTATTGTTTTTATATATAATGGATCCGAATCATCCAATTAGTGAAATTTAAAATAACTTATCTAAAAAACATATGGGTCAAAGTCAATTAGTCAAACTGAAAGTACATTGCTATTTCTTGTATTTAATATTTTAATCCATTTAATGCAAAGCAGGAAGGACAAACTGCTCTTCACAAAGCAGTTTTAGGGAAAAAAGAGGCTGTGATTAGTCATCTTTTAAGAAAAGGTGCAAGTCCTCATGCCCAAGATCTGGTGGGACCCACCCTTCTCCTTCAACCTCCATTTTCCATAATCATTATTCATTTCTTTTATTTCTTCTTCAAAAATTACTAAAATACCCTTGTGATAGAGTGGTGCTACTCCACTTCATTATGCAGTTCAAGTGAGTGCCATGCAAACGGTTAAGTTGCTCATCAAATGCAAAGTTGACGTGAACGTTGCTGATAATGTAATAATATAAATATTTGATTCTTTTATTTATTTTTTACTTTTTGTTAAAATTTAATTCAATCTTATTGTTTTATAGGAAGGGTGGACCCCATTGCATGTTGCAATGCAAAGTAGAAACAGAGACATTGCAAAAGTTTTGCTTGTGAATGGTGCAGACAAGACTAGAAGAACTGAGGTCAGTAAATTTTATAACAAATTTCAAGAAATATAAAAAAAAATGGATCGTTATATAAAATAATCACTTAATATATTCTTTTTTTTTTCAGAATGGGAAAACACCTCTTGATTTAGGGTTATGTTATGGGAAAGAATTCAAAGCATATGATCTTGCCAAATTACTAAAGCTTGTACCAGCAAACAATTATCACTGATGCCACGTGTCATGTTCATATGTTCTTGTTTTGTTATTCCACATATTTGATGTTCAAGAATCAATAGAAATCATCTTGAATTACATGAGATTTATATGTATTATTTGTAGAACTATATCAAATAACAAAAATGGTTTTGAAAAAATAGGCACACGCAATGAAATGTTTTACTTCTTTCATGAGAAATATATACTCTCCTCTAAACTTGTTTGTTTAGATTTTTGATTTTTGTATTCCATGTATTTAAATTGTGTGGTATTTTTTTACAAACGTTTTAGTTGATTATCGAGTTGTTGTATTTGCTAATTTCAACTTTTGGCTTCACATAAACATCTGGAAATTTGCTTATGTGGAAATAGCAGTTTAATCTGTTATCACAGGTCATAATGGTGTAATAAAAAAGAAATCGTTTGTTTGGTGGGTGTCTTTTTTTTTTTTTTTTTTTGTTTTCATGACCGAATGGTTAAATTGGTAGAACTTTGTTGCTTAAATATGGTTTTGCTTCTTATTATTGAAGTGTGGCATACTTGATCCAACCAAACCAGATCTTTTATTAGAAAATATTTTTATTCATAGTCAATTTTTATTATTTTTGTGGTTATAAAAATTATAAAGAAATTATTTTTATCATTAGAAAACAAAGATTGTATTAATATGCCATGTCATGAAGTTAAACCTTTTTAGTCTCTTTCAATTCGGATGGCAATCTCGACAAAGTATTGCGGCAAAATTTTGAACCACACAAAATGTATTGTTCCTAAACACCATGGTTATTAATATGTATATAATGCAATGACTAATATCCTTAATATCATGTTATTCATTAAATGATATTAATTATTATATATATTAAAACAAAAGTTGTTATGAATGGTAAAGTTGTAGGTTTTTAAATTTTTGCTACTAAACTTTTTATTTTAAGTTTTGGCCACAATGTATAGTTTTAGAGTTTTACAATTTTGCCCTAAAATTTTGTTATTTTAGATTTTGTCAACAAATAATCTTAAATTTTGCCCATAAACTTTCTTATTTTAGACTTTAGCTACATAACTTTCTTATTTTGGCATATTTGATCCCTAAACTTTCTTATGTTTGTACTTTCCACCACTTACTTTTTTGAATGCCACTTTTCATCCCATACTTTGTAAAATATCATTTTCACCCCCTCAATTTTGAAGACCGACATTTTTCATCTCTTTACCTTTTGTATCTTCGCATGTTTGACATGTTTGATCCCTACGTAGAAAATAAATAACAAGAACGGTCCTTGTAATCTACATATAGGTCCTTGTGCAAAATTATATTTATAGGAATTGTACATATGTTTAAAAAATTACATAAATGCAAATTTCTAATAAAAAATTTTAAAATATGAGCTTTTGTCCCTACGTAAAAAATGAATTGTGAAAATGATCCATGTTTTTTTTTTCAAAAATCAGTCCCTTTATTTTTGTAAGCAAAACTTTGTCTGTGTCCCCGCGAATCGGGAGGAGCATTTTCTAATTGTTCATAAAAATAAAGCTTAATATATGCAAGTTAAATTTTTTAAAATAATTAAAAAAAAACTGATATAATGTAACATGTAATTTTTATAATTTTATGATAATGTAATTTATAGATTTATAGTAATAAAAATATATTATACGTATTTGTTAAAAATAATTAATAGAAGAGGGGTTTGACAATATATATAGAGTTACAAAAATAAATACAATTTTTAGTATAAAACGAAGTAGGGTTAAAAAATTTGCATCACATTTACTCCATTTAAGTTTTAAAAAATAAAGATTGATCGGAGCTGATGTAGAAAACAAAACTGAAATTAATTATTATAATATTGTAATAAAAAATAAATAAAAATATATTGTTATTTATCATATTGAATTTTAAACAAAACTAAAAAAAAACTTATATGATACATTCGATCACACACAATCATAATAGGATGAACATTTGGACATTTAGATCGGACCGAACCGGACCAGACATTGACCTTGACCAGGACCGGTTTTTATAGTAGGTCTGGTCATCGGTTATTTGAATCATGCAAAATGGGTCTGGGTAGGTCCGGTCTAGGTCCATGCCCGGTTTAATGGGTATCTGTTTTAAATAATAAATAAACTAATTTTGATAGAACTTCAACGCGTTGTACCATATGCCCCTAAAGTTGTATCAGTCTATGGGTACAAGAACCGAAAAAACCCAAACCCGAACCTGGATCCGGACCCAATAAGTTTCAACAAGTCCAGTCTACAGTTCATCAATTTTTATCAGACCGGTCCACCCTACTTCAAGGTGTTGTACCATGTGGGCCGGTCCAAGAACCGGTTCTGGTCCAATATACTCACGCTATAGGACTTTGGGCTGGGCCATAAACGTCTGCCATAGATGAAGCATGAAGTCGTCGACGACTTCGATATTTTTCGCGCCAATAAGCCCAGTACCTATTCAGGAATCGTGCAACCTTTTCCGTCATCGTCGATTTCTTTCTTTAGATTGACTGTTTACTTCGCTTCATGCAATTCAGTGGATTTAAAAGGTATATATGTTTTGTTGATCTTCAGTAATAACTATGTATTCGATATCTTTGGACTATTGTAATACGACACATCGCTTATTTGGTAATAGATACGAGTAGGAAAAGGAGAATGATTAGGGTACAGAACTACAGATTGCTGTTTTTGATTTTTCCTGCACTATCAATCCGTAAATTGGCTTTACTATTTCACTTTTCAATGATGATTTCAGGTGAGATTTAGTATTTGGGGTTATAACTAGGGCAAAATTTTGATTCTCCACAATCATCAATGGAGGATGAGAAGGACGCGTTTTACGTTGTGAGGAAAGGCGACATTGTTGGCGTGTACAGGAGTTTGAATGATTGCCAGTCTCTGGTAAACTTGTTTTGATTTCATCTTCATCTTCTTTCGAATTCCAGTATTCATCCAGTTACTTCTGCTAATCTTCATTTTTTTCACCTCATAAACAATGTAAGTGACTTACTCTAATCTTTGAACAATCATTCAGCTATGTGGTCCAGATGTTGATGTTTTCAAAGGCTATCGATTGTCTAACGTTGCTGAAAAATTCCTCTCCTCGCATGGACTCAATAATGCAATCTATTCCGTTGGTGTTTCTAATGTCCAAGGTGACCTTTTTGGACAACTTATTCCCTGTCCATTTCAGGTTAGACTTCTTCATTCTTCATTCTTCATTCATCTGAATCTTGATATCTTTTTATCTTTATTTTTGTAATGTTCATGAGTTCATCATGTTTCAGCAACCAGCTTCCATTAAAGCTAACAGCAAGACACCTATAGAGAAGAGGATGAAGGTAATGTTGCAATTTGTATTGCATCATAAACTTCTTTCATGTCTAAATTTTATGATTTGTGTTTTTTTACACAGAAAGATGTTGTTGGATCAACTTCATTATCAGAAGCTCCTCAAAGAAAGTTACCTGAAACAGAAAGCTTTATAGAAGCTTTACCAGTTTCTGCTTATTGTGTAAGTTTTCACACCATTGAGTTGAGTCTTCATGTTCTTCATTTCCAGTAATTATAAATTTATCATCATCTTTAATAATCAACTAAAACTGTCTTTAATCTTTATGTTGTCAGTGTTCCTGTATTCTTGAGTTTGATGGTGCAGCCAAAAATAACCCTGGACCTGCAGGTGCTGGTGCTGTGATCCGTGCAGTAGACGGAAGTCTGGTATATAAATATTGAACTTTTTTAAAATTCTTCCAAATATGCCCCTTATTAGTTATAAAAAAAATAAATCTTCTACATGCCCTTTTATGTCATTTCACATATTTCAGCTACAACTAGTTTTACCAAACATCATTTTTTAACAGCTAGCTTTTTAGATAGTCCGCTAAATTTTCTAGAACTAAGTAAGCCATCTCAGTTGGACAAAATTACCATTTTACCCTTATATTCCAAAATCAAAAGTTCACAATATTCAAAGTTTTGAAATTTGTAGGTTTATCGTCTGCGTGAGGGTTTAGGTGTTGCAACCAACAATGTGGCTGAATATCGAGCTGTGATTTTAGGGTTACGGTATGCTCTCGAGAGAGGGTTTAGACATATTCGTGTGCAAGGAGACTCTAAACTTGTTTGTATGCAGGTATTTTTTTTTTATATATAATATATTTGTATATATTTTTCAAGAACAATATGTTAATTTTTTTTAAGAAAACAGGTTAATGGGGTGTGGAGGACGAAAACACAGAACATGACTGAGTTGTGTAAAGTGGCGAAGGAATTGAAGGAGAAGTTTTTATCTTTCCAGATTTGTCATGTTGAAAGGGTACATATTTTTATCATATCTTTATTTATAATATGCAAATAAATTCAAAAAAATATTTCTTTTTTTAAATATTGGCAGGAATACAATTCTGAAGCAGATGCCCAAGCCAACCTGGCTGTATATCTCCAGAGTAAGAATGTCTCTAGATATTTTTCTTTAGGCTATGTTTGTTACATTGTCACTGTCACTGTCACTGTCACTGTCAGATATCTGATATCTTATATCTGTGTAGGTGGTGAAGTTCAGGAGGAAGTCGAGAGGAGATAGTTTAATTCGAACCCTTTCTAAAAATGTCAACTAACAACTCTCTTTACTTTTGGGTCCTCAGAATGTAATTCGCAAACACAAGAAGCGATATTTTATAAAAAATAGCATTGACGTATTTTTTTTGACTTTGGGGTCCATAAAGGCTAAAAAAACGTAAATGAACATAAACAACTGCAATTCTAAGACAATAGAGGTATACTCTTCGGCCTATTTAGGATTATGAAATGATCCTAACTACACACATGTTGTATACTACAAAATATACAACAGAAAAATGAAAAATTTTGATAAAAAAAAATGCTTTAGACCTCGCCGTTACTTAAAGAGGTGTTATTAACCAGTTAAAAACATAATTTTTTCTTTTAACAAAAAACTAGAAAAAAAACTCATGAATGAAGGGATATAATGTTGATAATAGTTTAACCTATTAAAAGACAAACAAACGTACATCCAATCATAGATACATATTTAGATCTTATGCCCAGAGAACATATTTTAAAAATTAATAACACATGCTACATTTAATATTAAGAATTACTTAAACCAAATCTCACTTGCTCGTCAACTTGGCCAAATAGTTGAAACCTGTATATAGATCCATTTGGTGTACTATTGATGACCCAATCACCCAATCAGTATTTAATATAATATTGTATGAAGAAAAATTGTCACGTTAAGATGGATTTGATGTTAATAACTTTTTCCTCGATGGTTTTTTATACGAAAAAAATCAAATAAAGGTTTTCTATTTTGAATTATCATATATGCAAAAAAATTCTATCGTTTACATGCATATATTCAATTTGCATATATATATGCGAATCCAGTGCAAATATATGTATGAGAAAAAAAGTCGTTTGCTTTTAGTTTTTTTCCAGCGAATCGTATAGAAATCAGGATTGATTTTTTTTTTCTTTGAAAAAGAATCATATGGAAGAAGAAGTTTTTAGGTTTTCACGTATATTTGAAAACAACATTTATTTTGAGAATATACTATATTATAACCCGCGTTAAACGCAGGGAACGCATAAAAAATATAATTGTCTACAGATATTGCATAATAATTATATTTTTTTTTTATGGTTATTGCTATTATTGAAATGTGTAGAAAATACATTGAAAACGATAAATATCTATAATCATTGAATGACCTCTTTGTAGACAACATTTTTTGTTTTATTAGTTAAACAACCTTCCTTGTCACATATAGTTATAATATTGTTATATAAGCATAAACATTCTAATTAGACGTTTCTTCCATAATAAGGCTACCTAATTTAAGCATATATTGACAACCAATATACCGTTTTCTCCACTGCATTAAATATTGACAACTATTTCATTTATTCAAATAAAGTCATATAGTATAATTTATAAAATGTTAAATGTTATATGGATTTAATTTTAATATATCATCAATGGAAATTCTTTTCTGTTTGTTTATTTTAAATTGATTATGAATATAAGTGCTAGCTTTTATGTTTGTTTTTATTTATTTGATGTTCGCAAGAATTTTGCATTAGTCTTGACGCAACTTTGAATAATTTTAGTATATCATTAATGTAATTTGGTATATCTTTCAATTATATGAAATATCAAATAATGACATTTCATTACTATTGCTCTAATTTAGTTTATATATTGTATTTTTACTAATCTTAACGGTCTTATTTTTTCCTAATAACCGTAACGCTTTTACTAATTGTATTTTTTACAAATCTCCTAATATCTTATAATTTTTATCTTACTTTATAATTTTTCATAACTATGTTATTTTCAAGATTGACTGTCTTAATAGTTTTTTTTCCAGTCTATTCAATTTTATATGTCATTGTACAAGATCATCGTTTGTATGTATTCTGAAATTTCACTTTAAAAATGCTTAATGTTTACACCTTGATATTAATTTTTTTTTAATAAACCCGTGTAATAATTATGGAATATATATCTCGTTTTAATTAACATTTACTTCCTTCATTAAATAAAATTCCTCATTAAACGAATATATTTTTTGGAAAATAATAATTATAATGGGGCAACATTATCTAAGACGTAAATGTTTGATATACTTTTGGAGGAAAAAAACCAGGATCATTAAAAAATTTTAGATAAAGAAAATATAAATTTAAATTGGGTGAAATTATGGATGAAATTACCGACGAAAATTATTTTGGAGGGAATTGTATTTTGTAAGGTATAATAATATTACAAAATTCGAAATATGTATATTTGTTGTGTAAATTTATAAATTTTATTGTTACTATATAAAGATAAAAAAGTAGGTTGGTATGTTATACAAAACATAATAATTTCAATGATATTTTAAAATCATAACAAAATTAACCGGATTCTTATGACATAAAAATTAAAAAAAAAATCATAATCATCTCTAATATATAAAAGTAACATTTTCGTAATTAATGACAATTCCCAAGATAGTTAATTTCTGTTTAGTTAAAGGTACGTAATATCTTTTCCTGTTTATTTGAAAAGTTTCAGAAAAGTAGTTAACCGATTTCATGTAATTTGTGTCAAAGAAAATTGAAATATATGAATACATATATTTGATATAGGAACAAAAAAATAATCGAAAAAAATATAAAAAACGAAAGAAGGTACTGACCTTCTAGTGCACAACAACGAAGGTTTGAAGCAGATAATAATGATGGAAGTTATAAGCAATAAGAATGATGTTGTAGGAGAAGGGTTGAAGAAAAGCAACGATTGAAAATAAGTGTGAGCCGCGGATTCAAGGATGAATCGTATATGTATGTGATAATTTGAATATGATTTTTTGGTATTAATGATTTCCTAATAAAAATCGATTTTATATTAATGGTTTACTAATATAAACGGATTTATGTTAATGGTTGATATTAATGTCTTGATTGAAATGGTTTGTTAGTAATATGCTTTTAAAATTGATGATATTAAAACCTTTATTAACCGAAAATTCAAAATTTAAAATATGGAAAGATTTTATTGGAATTAAATACATTCAATTTCAACGAATATAAGTTATTGTTTGACGATTGGAAAACATTTATTGGAATTAAATACATTCTATTTGGGGAAGATGATGTCAGCAATTTGATCTAAGGGTGGAAAAAATAATATTGAAATACAATCAATGACCCAGATTGTTTAAGATGATGTCATAAGGTTTTTCTTTTAATAATATTTATAGATGAGCAATTATAGGCTGTTGACCAGAATCGATCTATTGGTTGTAATCAAATCATAATATAAAACGTCAAAGGGGCAGGATGCTAATCTCTGAGGCCTGGTCCAAGCCAATTTGAGGCTCGGGGCAAAACCAAATATAAGATAATAAGACCCTTTAAATTACATAAAATTATAATCTAATAACTAAAATTAAAGTATAAAGGTTTAACAATTGTATTAGAATAATGTAGCCCAACTTCTTTCCAAGAACATGTTTCATCACATTAAATGGGGTTTTAGGATTTTGATCACACAAATTTACAAGCTTTTGTACCACCCATGCAGCTGAGGCAAAATTAGGATTCCAAACAACTTGACCTAATCATAAACATCATTTCATGTTGCCCTTATTAGTAAAACAAAAACATAATCATACACCAATTTTGGATGCCAATATTGAAACTCAACTTATATTACATAAAATGGAATAAAGAACAACACTTATCTAACAAGATCTTGAAATCATACTAAATTCAAAAACCTCGTATTGGTTCACCGCTTAATACCCTTCAAACTCATAAAAAATCATCATTTTTAGCAAGTGATCATGCAACAAAAATCAAGAAAACCACAAAACTAAAATGGAACTGTAAATAATTATATACCCATGAATTAAATTTGAAATTAAACTAACCTTCAAAAAGCATTGTTAGGTGCAATTTGTACACCTTTTTGCACACCTTTTAGTCTCATTTCATGCATCTATTTAGCATAATTGTTCTTCATTTGTCTTGTATTTCATCATATTACATGTTAGTCTCTAGAACAACCTTAGTTGCACATTTTCATGTCTTTTTTAGGTAAAGCGGAGGTTGGAACACGCTTTGGGAAGTGTCGGGAAGCATTGGTGAAGATTTCGGGATGATCAGGCGAAGAACGAAAAAGTTGGAAAAATCAAGTTCAGATTCAGAGTCAGAGGGGTACACGGGCCGTGTTGGATTTACACTGAAAAATCAACACGGGCCGTGTTGACCAAAATGGGAGCTGTTGACCATGCTGAACACGGGCCGTGTCAGATTTACTCTATGTCCAACACGGGCCGTGTTGACCAAAATGTGAGCTGTTGACCATGCTGAACACGGGCCGTGTCAGATTTACTCTATGTCCAACACGGGCCGTGTTCGACCCAGAAACCAACTTTTGACAGTTTTTCCTATCTTTCATATTACGGGTTAAGGGCCATTTTTATACACACACAACATATCAGAGCACATTTGGAGAATGATTTTCGAAGGTTTTTGCAATGGTTTGATTTGCAATCATTTGGAAACATTATTTTTAGTATTTGTAAGTTGTAATTGCATACATTTCTATCTTTTAAACTTGTGATCTAGTTCTAGCCATGTGTGGCTAGAACCCTAGTTTCTCCAACTTCATGTCTTGACTTCTTAGTTGTGATTTCAATCATATGACTTGATGTTTGCTTTTAATTTCTATCTAGTGAATTTGATTTTGATTTAATCGAATGTTTGATTCTAATTGTGATTCTTATTGGCCATTTGAATTAGGGTTAGGTCATTCAAGTTATCTCTTTTACAAAATCCGTAATTGTTTTGTGAAATTGAACAAGTAACAAGCATTAAATTGATTTCTTATGAATGAATTTAGTGTAAATCTTTTCACACATTCTTACGCTCCCGAGCTTGTGAGGAGTATTGGGTGTTGTTGGGAACATTCACAATAAGCTTAATGCAATCTTTTAATCTACTTCTAAGAGCTTGTTTAGATTAGGTTAATAAGGTTATGATTAATCAAAGAGCTTGTTTTGATTGATTAATGTGGTGAATGGAAAGTGTTAGAGCTTGTTAACACTTTCAAGTACCAACTTAGATAGAATGAAACAAATGTCTTGTCATCTTTGATTCACATTGCTGGATTGTCATACATGAGGTTGGAGTCC